TTCCTGGAGTTCTGAATCTTTCATTTGCTGTTATACATAAACATAGCAATTTATTGGTAAGAGATGACAAGAAGGGAATCTCCCTTGATCTCTGTCCAAAATTATTTTAAATAGGAAGACCAGTGAAAAATATTAATATGTATAAGGAACAGTTGGATCCTCCTGCTTTAGGCAGTTAAGCACATACAAGCAGAAGACTAGAGGTTTATTCTGGGCAGAAATTCCAGACTTGGGGATACCAGCCTCAACAGAAGATAGCGGCAAAGCATATAGCTGACAAGAGGGGATTTGAGTGAAAATATGCATACTGAATGGCAGAACCCTCTCAGCCCGTTCCCCCAACCTGCTCCCAGAATGTCAGCAAGCAAGGGTCTCTCCCCCAGGAAGGAGATCAGGGACATTACATAGTCCTCCAGATGAAAACATCATAAAGTGAAGCTTCCCAAGTTACAAGCCCCAGCCATGCACATGGAGCTTTCAGTTAGAATTTTAGCTCCTCATCCCAGATTATGAAAAGCTGGCCAAGTATCACCAGATATGAAGGGGAAAGGTCTGCCATGAAAGACAGAGACTGTAACAAAGAAACAGAACAGGAAGCTTGGATAACTAGCTTGGCCATACCACACAAATGCACATGCATTATTGTATTGTCCCTCGATATCTCTAAGAAACTGAGTATGGTTACATTTCCTCATTCAAGTAAAGGTTTCAAGTAAAATGCCCTGTGGGTAAATAAATAGGGAAACTTTAGTAACAGATATCTCACCTTTTTAGTGTATAGCTGATTCTGCTGGATCTTACTAATGACTATGCTGTCAATAGTATGTTAAGCGATATGTCAAATCACAGCAACAACAAAAAAATTCCGCCTAGCTCTTAGATATTTTGATTTATAAAATGGAGTTTCAAAATATCTTTTTGACTTTCATGAAGTTAAAATAAAACACAGAAAATATACAAGATTGTTCATGTCTTATCCAAATACAAACCAGACTTCACTCAACTCTCTGCATATGCAGCAGACAGTCCAAATGCAAATTCTGGCAAATCCCATTATCTACAAACTTCTTATCAAAGAAAATGAAAAAATCTTCCAGCTAAATGTCCTGTACGTTTTGTAAACAACACTGCTAAAAAGGGGTATGATCTGCTTACCCCTTCTAAAAATGCTAGAAGTTTAAAAATGCTACATGTTTTAGACATAGTCTATACAATGAATTTATAGATGCAAGAGATATTCAGCCTTTCATTACCAAAGTTTTTATTTTTCAGTTTCCTTAAAACTTATAGAAGCACTCAAAAAGATTTGTAGCTATATATTATAGAAATGGAAGGAGATGGCTTCCTTAGACATGTGCCTATAGTGTGGCCATCATTGTTGCTGGCCATTGAAAAGATTTAAAATGTTGGCCTGCCATAAAATCATATTTTCAAAATGTGGGACAAAAAAGAATGTCCTTCTCCAAATTGGAAATACACTGTGATCAGAATGGAGAAATGACTATAAAAGAGCATAAATGACATGCCATTTCTCCAAAACTGATTGATGATCTCTGAAGGGGCCATAAAGAGTCGAGAAAAAAAAAGAAAGAATGGACAGACTACATCCAAGTTGTTTGGTGCTATGTACAGGGTGTGACAAAAACTCTTGTAGCAAGAAAATGACTTTTTTTTTCTCTTAAAAAAAAAGCAATAAGATTGCTGCAGAACTCAAAAACCGTCACCAAAAAAGGGAAGCCAAGTTGAAGAGGACTTTCTCATTTATTTACTGAATCTGTAACTTACTTGGAATCCATCTTCAATTTCACAAGTTTAATTCACCTCTGTGCTTTATAACCATTTTCCGTGCAAGAGAGAGGTTTAACTTAGGACATCTAATGTACTTCAGAGAGTTTAAAAATGCTAGATGTTGGCCGGGCACAGTGGCTCACGCCTGTAATCCTAGCACTCTGGGAGGCCAAGGCGGGTGGATCACTCAAGGTCAGGAGTTTGAGACCAGCCTGAGCAAGAGCGAGACCCCGTCTCTACTAAAAAATAGAAATAAATGATCTGAACAACTAATAAAAATATATAGAAAAAATTAGCCGGGCATGGTGGCGCATGCCTGTAGTCCCAGCTACTCGGGAGGCTGAGGCAGAAGGATTGCTTGAGCCCAGGAGTTTGAGGTTGCTGTGAGCTAGGCTGACGCCATGGCACTCACTCTAGCCCGGGCAACAAAGTGAGACTCTGTCTCAAAAAAAAAAAAAAAAAAATGCTAGATGTTTTAGACATAGTCTATACAATGAATTTACAAGAGATGTGAATGATAGACAGCTGGTCTACCAAAACAAGCCTGTAGATATACTGGATGGACATTTCTAGGGAGACAGCAACTAATTCTTACAAATCTAAAAGATCTTAAATATTCTTACCACACACATACAAAAGGTAACTATGTGATGTAATAAATATGTTAATTAGCCTGATTATGATAATTATTTCACAATGTATACAAATATCAAAACATCATATTGTACACCTTGAATATACATGAATTTTGTCAATTATACCTCAGTAAAACTGAAAAAACAACCATAGGTTTAAATTGCAAAAAATAAATAAATAGAAAATAAATAAAAACCTACTGTTGCTAGAAAGTCAAATCCTAAGTATTAAACCCTTTTGCGAAGAGGGTATTTAGCTTGATCTCATCACCTTGGACTGATACCCGTCAGTATGGGCTTGATAAGAGCAGAGCTGTAAGTCAAAATAAACTTTACATTTGACTATATGCAGCTTTGCCACCAGATAAAAGAAGGCTACAGTCAGTTCAGAGAAGTATTATTGAAAACGGACAGAGAACAAGTAAAAACATCCTACAGTACCATGAGACAGAAAGAAACATATCTTTTTTCCATTAAATATAGGTAATATCCATTTAATTAGTACTATTGTATTTATGTTCTCCTTGTAAAAAGACTTACATTTATATATCTTAAGACAATGCAATACTACTACCTACAAAATATAAACATCCAACAATGAGTTAAACAAGAGTTAAAATAAGCTGCTATATCAGAGACTGAACATTATAAAATATTGTTATCTTTTCTCATGCATTTTTAATTAGTTCTACTATTATTACTAATGATTGCCACTGTTAACCAGTTCCAATGCTATTTTGTTTAAATAGTAACATTTATGTCACAGAAAAGTACAGAATATATAGTTCAAATAAACATGTTTTCATATTTTTATCTTAAAGTAATAACACACATGTACGATTATTTCTATGTTATATCATTATTTTTTTTGCTTACTATGACTACATCACAGATTGGCTCTCTAAAAAAGTTGGTCACTCTAGGAAAAGAGAAACTTAAGAAATTTTCCCAGAACTACTGGTAGACACTGGTTCTGTGAATAAAAGAGCATCCTATGTATCCAGTACAACGAATGAAAAAAGACCTGGACCAAAGCATGTCACTGAAAAGTTTTAGAATACTATAAAGAAAGAAGACCCCCAAAAGCTTCCAGAGGGGAAAAAAAAAAAGGTCACATACAAAAACTGGGAGATCACATGACATTAAGCTTTTCAACAATGACACTGGAAGCCGAGGATATTGATTAAATATTAAAGTTATTTTTTAAAATACATTTTATTTCTGAGCAGTTTTAGCATTATAGAAAAATTGCACAGAAAGTACAGAGAGCTCTCATGTACCTCTTAATGCCTCCTCCAGGTCCTCTTATCTTTAATCTCTTGCATTTATTAAAGTTATTTTAAAAAACTCTTCTGTTTTCAACATTTCTCTAAATTTAGAGGGAGAATGATTTTCAACATAGGATCCCTGTCCAGGCAAACTATAAATCAAAAGATCGAAGTTACAGGTACAATAAAAACATTTTCCAACATGTAGAGGCTGAAAAATGAAATCTTCTATATATTATTTTTAAAGAAGATATTAGAAAATATGCTCCAGCATATTGAGGAAGCCACTCAAGAAAAAGGACCCAGGAAATAAAAGATTTAAACCTGTATATGCTTCCATTCTTGTGATACCTCACTTCGGAGGATGGGCTCAAGCTCTATCCAGGAAAATGTAAAAGGTGCTAGAATAAGCACCACGTGCACTCGCCACCAAATTGGCACAAACTGATCAACACCGAGGAGCTCACACGGTAGTAGTATCTTTGGGGGTTGGGGGTGGGTAAACTCAAAACTAACGGACATGGTGAACGTTGTAGGGGTAAAGGGCACGCCTCAAATCATGGCTTTGGTGTGGCAAAGTCATAACATGTAACCGAAATGTTTGTACCCCCATAATATCCTGAAATAATAATAATAATGATAAAAAAGCAAAACTGTGAGTGAGCGAAGGGAAGGCCCATCATGGCAGCTGCACAGCAGGTCTAGATGGCAATCAGTCCAGATTGAAGTTGGAGAGAGGAAGCTTGGGATACTGACAGGAAAAAAAAAAATCAATGGATTTTTAAAAATTTGACTATTTGGAGGTATCAGTGACATATTACACATCTGATGGAATAGCTAGGAAAAAATTAAAGACTCCTGCACAGTGATACTAACTAAATGAAAAAAAAAAGGCAACTGTTAATTCCAGGGGAAAAAGTTGTACAATAAAAACATACAGTCTGCCCCTCATATGTGTGGGTTCTGTTTCTGTGGATTCCACATCTGTGGATTAAACCAATTGCAGATTGAAAATATTTGGAAAAAAATTGCATTTGTACTGAACATGTACCGTTTTCTTGTCATTATTCCCTAAACAATACAGTAAATACTATCTACATATTATTTATATTGTATTAGGTATTACAAGTAATCTAGAGATGATTTAAAGTATATAGGAGGATGCACGTAGGATATATGCAAATACTGCACCATGTTATATAAGAGACTTGTGCATATGTTTATTTTGATATCCACAGAGGTCCTGGAACCTCCACAGAAACTTAGGGACGACTGTAATTACAATAATACAGTGTTTGGCTCAGCAGTGAACTATACTTATGCTGTCGTATGATATCAATGCTGACTGTTAATGTAACCAAACTCATGATATAATTAGAGAGGTGATAAGAGGGGACAGAAACGGGAGCATGGTAGTGGTTCGAAAGAACTCAATTCCCACTTCCTATAATGGGAAGTCAGTAGACAATGAAACAGCAGTGTGAGAATATTTTTATTTAAAAGTTTGAAGGTTAATATCAGAAAAGAGAGGTATCCTCTTGGGGTTGGAGCAGGGGTGACTGTTTTTCACTACAAGTCTTTCAACACTATTTGAATTTACCACTGAGTGTACAATACTTTAAAAATAAGTGATGCAGATTCCTAAACCCCATTCCCAGAAATTCTGATTCAGTAAGTCTGAGATTGTGCCTGGTAATCTGTAGTTTGAAGCCCCTGCAGTGATCCTGGCAGAGAGGCCTAGGAAAACCGTACGATTTAGTCAGGACGAGGTCACCACTCTCCTGATCCCAGGGTTCTGTGTTTGCTACTCTCTCCCAATTATCCATTGCATTCTTAAGAATAAAATTATCAGATTTTAATAGTTCCTCTTTAGAATTTTGCTCAAAATATAAAACATTATTGGCAAACTTGGTGCAGACCCACTATATAGATCCTGTCTGTAAGCCTCTGTTGCGAAAGTAAAGCAGCTGGGCAAGGTTACAAGCTGAAGATTCAAGTTGGAAAACTGTTAACAGTCTGAAGGCTCTTTGAGCTGGTGAAAATAATGAAAACCCAAGTTTGTTTCAGAGGTGAAGGTGGTGAGGAATCAAGCAATAAAGATAATTAAGAGCAGCAGACAAATGGAATTCCTCGTCTGTACGGAAGACTGAGGAAGAAACGATGAATCTGACGATTACCTTTGAATGCGAATGCTCTGATCTGAGAATCCCTGGGTGTCAATCATCACATCTGCTTCATCCAGGACAAACACATGAATCTTAGTCAGATCAATCAATTTTCGCTTGAAACACCAATCTAGGACAGTTCCAGGTGTGCCAATTATGATCTGTTTGGCGACGTCAGTGCCTCTAGGAACTAGGGAGAAAGGGGTTTTAAGTGCTCCTTCAGATGCAAAAGCCTCCAACAGGCCACAATTCAGGGCAAAGCAACTATAAAACTTACAACTCATAAAACTTGTAAGCAAAAGTATAGTTGTAATGATTTCCCAAGTGCAAACCCTGAGGGTCATTGTGGTTTTTGATTTTGCAAGATTTTTAGGATAAATTTTCAAGTTTCTAGGTTTATGCTAATAATAGTCCTGCATATTTGATTATGCCTCACAGTCATTTAAAAAGCCACACTGCAGCAATGCCAACTATCCTACAGAAATACTGGCACAGCCGTGAAACACTACAAACCTTCCCCAAACAGAAAATAACCAAAATATCCATCAATAGGCTACATTAAATAAATTATGGAATATTATGCAGCTAGTCAAAAGAACAAACAATATGAAAAAAGTGGTCCCATTTTTGTGAACGCTCAATGAAAACAAATACATGTGTGTATATTTGTTGTGCTTGTATGAGCTAAAAAAAAAAAAAAGGAAGCAAAAAACAAAGGCTTGCATGTAACAATACTGTAGTGATCTTTGGAAGGCAAGGAAGAACAACTTTCACTTTTACCTTCTAATCATCTGTCTTTTAAAGTTTCTTTTCACTATGAGCATGTAATACTTTAATGAAAAAAATAACAAAAATAAAAGCTATTCTTCAAAAAACCACCATGTCTTAAAGTAAAGGATATACAAAGGCATCATCTTGCAGGATGTGGAAATAATGTAGCTAATGTTTACTGGGCACTCATTATGTGCCAGGTGTGCACAACGGTTTATCTATATCATCTCATTTAATCCTCATAAAAACCCTATGATACAGGTGCTATTATTTCCCCCATTTTAGAGATGAGAAAGCAGAGAAGTTATATAACACGCTTGTTAGCAGTGAAACTAGGATTTAAAAAATCAGCGAGGACTGGCTTACTGGTACATACTTCGATTCCCTCGAATGGCATACATCACTTGGACGTCCACACAGAATTTTCCCATCCGCTCAACCACACGGCCAGTTTGCAGAGCCAGTTCATACGTAGGAGCCAGGCAGAGGCACTGTCAGATAGAGAATCAGAGGGGAGAAGAAAGGTTCATACGAACCATCTTTCACATTTTAACTACAACAAAAATTTGCACAGGGAGAGGCACAGAAGTGAAATGGGAGGTTTTGGTTGAATAAAATATTTTAAACTGAACACAGTTTAACAGTTGATAGATTTCAGGTGAATGCTGAGTATCAAGGGCAGGGGCTGAGGGATGCAGAAATCGCTATCTTTTATATATTCCTCCCTCAAGGGTTATTTAGAAACACAACCTACTGGTCACCCTCTATTTTGGTGGGGGAAGAGTAGGATGTAGGGAGGCTGAGGATTATTAATAGTGAGAGAGGGAATGCAAGACAAATTACAGCTCTAGCATGATCCCTGTCACCTCTGCCTGCTATTAAAAGTCTACTTATTTCTAGAACACTCCCTGCTTGATCCAATCCATCTACATTACCTATATTTTATAGATATACAGACATATAGATCCTGCCAGGGTAAGAGTCCCCCCAAACTCTCTCATTTGTGAGCCCATACTCCCTACAAATGGTGGTTGTTGATGAATAAAAATGTTGATGGAAGAAACTGCTGAGATCTAATACATTAACATGCTTCCATTAGGGGTCTGTGATAGAGAAGGAAACATAGCCAATGTGGTAAAAATAGTTTCCACATATATTTCTCAATATGTGGTCAATCACAGCTTATCCTGAAGAATTGTTATGGAAAATATCAAACCCCAAATACAAATTGCACTGAACTTGTCTAAAATGCACAAGATTTCCTATGCCTGGCTTTAGTCACCAACGTCTGTGGCTTATCTGGCTGGTCAGAGTATAACCTTGCTGAGGGGCCCTTGTGCTCCCCACATCATTTAGTGCAGATGGATCCTCAGCCTTTCCAGTGAGTCAGGAAAGATGACCATACTTTTCATGAGTGGAAACTACAGTAGGAGAATGGTGAGCTGGGTGCCAGGGCCAGTCCTTGTTCAGCCCCTCTCTGAGTGTGCGACCTCAGGAAGGATACTTCCCTCTCCAAGTGTCAGCTTCCTTCCTCCGCTAAATCACTGAGGCAGACTGGATGATCTTCTGGTCCTACAGTTATATGGCTATGATTAATGCATGCTTATTTTATGCAAAGCATAGTGCTAAAAATGTACATTGTTTCATTAAATCCACATGATGACCCTTTGAGGCATTCATTCATTCATTGTGTTTGTTCAATGTTTAATGAGTGGTTTCCACAAGCCAGGCACTGTGCTAAATGTTAGGATTCAAGGGTGAACAGATCTACTATGACTCACGCCTTTATAGATATTATCTTTACTTTACAGACAAAAATTAACAGACTCAGAGAGATTTACTAACTTGCCTAAGACACTTGGCTAGTAAGCGGAGAGGCTGGCATTGAAACCAGTCAGACGATAAAGCCTGGGCTATAACTGTCCTATACTGCTGCCCAATGCTCTATGATTTCATGAAAGAATGTCTACTCTAAATATTGTCGTATCACTGTAGCAATCATATCATTGTAGCAATATCACCTATTACTACAACAGCATTGGCATTTTAAGCATTCCCACTTCTCCCTCAGGCTTTCCTTACCTGTGGGAACAATTCCAAGACATTAACTCTGCTTAACATTGCCAAGACAAAGGCAGCTGTTTTTCCTGTTCCAGACTGGCTCTGTGCTATGAGGTTCTGGGGTCTGCAGAAAAGAGGAGACCACTGGGCATAAAATGAATACAAGGGCCTGGACATAAATTGAAAATAAGAGACTAAAAATAACCAAGTTAGAATACCACTACTCTGGAAACTCACGGATGTGCCAGCATCATAGGGAGAGCCATCTCTTGGATTTTGGATGGCCTATTAAATCCCATTGCATAGATTCCTTTTAGTAACTCTTCCTTTCTGTCAATAAAACAAAACAAATCAAACAAAGCCTATGGTTGGTCAGTAGCCTCAGAAATACATACTTGAAAGGTGCATTTCTAAATTAAACCATTTTGCAACTGAGCTTTAAAAGTAATATTGAAAAATATATCAGACACAGCAACAAAAAACTATAGGGCAATGTCTTTCATGAACATAGATGCAAAAATCCTCAACAAAATACTAGCAAACCAAATTCAACAACACACTAGAAAGATTATTTATCATAATCAAGTGGGATTCATCCCAGGGAATCAAGGATGGTTCAACACACATAAATCCATCAATGTGATACAACGTATCAACAGAACAAAGGACAAAAACCATATGATCATTTCAATTGATGCTGAAAAAGCATTTGATAAAATTCAACATTTCTTCAGGACAAAAACTCTTAAAAAATAGGATATAGAAGGAACATATCTCAAGATGATAAAAGCCATATATGACCCCCCAACCCATAGTTAGTACCAAACCGAATGAGGACAAACCGAAAGCCTTTCCTATAAGATCTGGAACAATACAAGGATGTCCAATTTCACCACTGTTATTCAACATAGTACTAAAAGTTTTAGCTAGAATAATCAGACAAGAGAAAAATAAAGGGCAACCAAACTGGAAAGGAAGAAGTCAATTATCCTTGTTTGCAGATCACATGATTTTTTACCTAGAAAAACCTAAAGACACCACAAAAAAAACCTAGAACTGATAAACAAATTCAGTAAAGTTGCAGGATACAAAATAAACATACAAAAATCAGTAGCATTTCTATATGTCAACAGCAAACAATCTGAAAAGGAAACCAAGAAAGCAATCCCACTTATAATAGCTACAAACAAAATAAAATACCTAGAAATAAACTTAACCAAGGAAGTGAAAGATTTCTACAATGAAAACTATAAAACATTGATGAAAGAAATTGAAGAGACAGAAAAAATAGAAAGATATTCCATGCTCATCGATTAGAAGAATCAATATTGTTAAAATGTCCATACTACTCAAAGCAATGTACAGATTCAATGCAATCCCCATCAAAATACCAATGACATTCTTCACAGAAACAGAACAAATAATCCTAAAATTTATATGGAACCACAAAAGACCCAAAATAGCCAAAGCCATCCTGATCAAAAAGAACAAAACTGAAGGAATTACGTTACCTGACTTCAAATTATACTACAGAGCTGTAGTAACCAAAACAGCATGGTACTGATATAAAAACAGACACATAAACCAATAAAACAGAATGGAGAACCCAGAAATAAGTTCACACATCTATAGTGAACTTATTTTCGACAAAGTCACCAAGAACATACACTGGGGAAAAGACAGTCTCTTCAATAAATGGTACTGGGAAAACTGGATATGCATATGCAAAGAATGAAACGAGGCCCTTATCTCTTGCCATATACAAAAATAAAATCAAAATGATTAAAGATTTAAAACTAAGACCTGAAACCATGAAACTACTAAAAGAAAACATTGGGGAAATGCTTCAGGACATTGGTCTGGGCAAGGACTTCTTGAGTAATATCCCCAAAGCACAGGCAACCAAAGTAAAATTGGACAAATGGATGACATGAAGGTAAAAAGCTTCTGCATGGCAAAGGAAACAATCAACAAAGTGAAGAGACAACCCATAGAATGGGAGAAAATATTTGCAAACTATCCATCTGACAAGGGATTAATAACTAGAATATATAAGGAGCTCCAACAACTCAATAGGAAAACATCCAATAATCCAATTAAAAAACGAGCAAAAGATCTGAATAGACATTTATCAAAAGAAGACATACAAATGGCCAACATACAAATGCTCATCGTTAGTCATCAGAGAAATGAAAATCAAAACTACAAGGAGATATCATCTCACTCCAGTTAAAAGGGCCTTTTATCAAAAATACAGGCAATAACAAATGCTGGTGAGAATGTGGAGAAGGGGAACCCTTGTATATTGTTGGTGGGAACGTAAATTAGTGTAACCACTATGGAGAACAGTATGGAGGTTCCTCAAAAAACTAAAAATAGAACTACTATATAACCCAGCAATACCACTAATGGGTATATATTCAAAAGAAAGGAAATCAGTATATTGAAAAGATACCTGCACTTCCATGTTTCTTGCAGCACTATTCACAACAGCCAAGATTTGGAATAGATCTAAGGGCCCATCAATGGATGAATGGATAAAGAAATTGTGGTGCACATACATGATGGACTAGTATATAGCCATAGAAAGAATGAAATCCTGCCATTTACAACAACATGGATGGAACTGGAGAACATTTTTTTAAGTGAAATAAGCCAAGCACAGAAAGACAAATCTCACATGCTCTCACTCATGTGGGAGCTAAATACTAGAACAATTGATTTCATGGAGACAAAGAGTAGAATGATGGTTACCAGAGACTGGGAAGGGTATATGGAAATGGGGGATAAAGTGGGAATGGTTAATGAGTACAAAAATGTAGATAGATAGAATGAACAATATTTGATAGCACAACAAAGTGACTATAGTCAACAATAAGTTATGGTATACTTTAAAATAACTAAAAGAGTAGAACTGGAATGTTCCAAACACAAAGAAATGACAAATGATTGGGGTGATAGATACCTCAATTACCCTGATTTGATTATTACGCATTGTATGCCTGTATCAAAGCATCACACATACCCTACAAATATATACAACTATTATACACCCATAATTAATAAAAAAATTTAAAAAAAAGAAAAATATATCATTTCCACCTGAACTCTCAAACATACACAATAAGCTATGATATAAGCTTAGGCTAAGGACAGTGGTAAGGGCCTAAAGTTGAACTTTCTGTTGAACAAAGTGAGGAAAAAAAAAAAAAAAAAAGGAAAAACTCATCTGAAAAAAGGAGTACATCAGTTTGCCAGGAGAGTTATATTTTCCACAAAAGCAAAAAACAAAGTGATACTTATTGTTTAGTTCTTTTTCATGAATTACACTGATGTTTTTAACAGTAATTTTCAGAGAAGCCAAAATTTTATTTAGGTGATTCTTTTATCAGTTCTCCCTAGGAGCAGAAGATACATGATTACCTCGTCCTTCTGGGGAAGTATTTTTAAATCCATCTTTCCTGGGAAGTCTTAAGAAAAACGTTAGAATAGGGATAAATCAAGTGGGCTGAACACTTCCACCTTTAATGACATGCATATCTGGATACACTTAATTGGGAGATGAACTGGTAGATGACTGGCAGACCGTTTTTAATCATAGGTAGGCTTCTACCATTTACAAAACATCTGTGACATAGGAAGAGAAGACTAAAATAACAACAATAAAAAAAAACCCAAAATGTCTGAGCATTAGGATTTTGGATTTTTACCCTTTTTATAAGTCTGTATAAGTACCTTTTCTTTCTGTTACAATTCATTTCCTTAATGGTAATTGATAAATAGGGAATACAAATCCTTCAGGGAAAGTTATTCACTTTAATACCATTTGAAACAAAATATAATTAGGAAAGTAAATGCTTGTAACTTATCTAAAGGGGTTGGGGGAGGATGTTTGGGTCATCAGTGCCCCTGTATCTGGGTTCTGGTGTGGACAGTGGCAATTTGGCTGTGCCTGGCTTAACTATCCCCCTTACCACTGCAAGATTAAAATATTTTACTATCAAAAATGTTCTCAGTTCTCTGAGCAAGTTGGGTATTGGGGTGCTGTTCTTTGAGCTATATTTTGATTGAGTGCAAAATGTACACACCTCATTTTCTTTTTGTTTTTTAAATTTTTATCCAGAAGTTGCTGGCATACACACCTTATTTTAACACTGAATATTAGAAAACAAAGGAGATGGTTTTTATTACTAGCAGATGAGTGTGTTCTGTGCCGTGTCCCATTCATAGTAAAACATTGAAAATACTCACAGCCGCAGCTCTTCAAATGTTTTCACTGAGTAAAGTGGGGAGCTGGGATCCTTCTGTAAAACTTCCACTCGGTGACTGGATTCTACCAAGGACTGACGGATTAACTTGTTTAAAAGTGAATTAGCTGCCAAATCCACTAGAAAAGCAAAAACAAAAAAGGGGACATCAAGCTTCCTGAATAACATCAAATAAGTTGCTCACCCATTCAGTGGTTGCATATCAAGCAACTGCACCTATGCTCACCTTTCTTCTAAAAGAAGGTTCTAGAAATAACAACATAGCACTGAGAATTCCTTCTTCATGAGGATCCAGTTTCTTATGCTGGGTTGCTACAAAAACCTCTAACTTCAAACAGCCTAAGCCCATCTCCCTGAGACCTAATTCCTCCCTGACAGCTGGAAATTCTTAACCTACTCCCTGCATATTCCAACTTCCTCTAAAGAAATGTACCCACTCCTTAGTATTAACATTTATTCTGATATTTGCTATTCATAAGGAAAATAGAAGCAAAGCCAGTCCATTTCCAAATGAGATATGATTCACGCACACTGTGAAAATGATGATAAACTGAAACAGAATGTACCCTCTTGCGTACATGCAAATGAATTTATCTCCTACCTACATCTTCTTCATCCTCTTTTTCAGTGTTATTAATAGAACCATCTAAAGGATGGAAGAGAAACAATAAACATAAATGCTGAGCAGAAATAAAGCACACTATTCCATTTTCCCTTCCTGACTCTTCAGTGTGTACGGACAGGAAGAGTCATCTGCAGAGGACTGGATAAAATGATTGGGAAGGTAGCTGAGGGTCTCGAAGGTTAAACTAAGGGAGCCCAACGTATTTCACTTTCCAGGGAGATGATAAAAGCAATGCTTTTTAATTGAGGCCGATCTGCTTTACCCTAACAGCACTCACCTACGTTTGGGACTGCAGTACTCTTAATACCCCAAAGGTTCTTCCGGGGGTGGATGGGGTTTGAAAACTATTGAAAGACACAAATTTCAACCGATATTAGGAAGCAAGCCACCAAGCAGCCCAGTGCTCCCTACCACAGAAGCTGGAAGGCATTCAGGGAAGACCACCTGAGTACTGTTTCCTTTGCAGTATTAGGTATTAATGGAGTCCTTTCAGGAACAGGTCTCCTGTAGGAATTACCCCAAAATTGGAGACTTTCTGTAGTCCCCGTACGTGAAGTTCCTCTTTATTAGGCCGCTAGTTTAAATGTGGGCAGTACCCGGGGGTCACAGCACCAACGAGGGATGGCGGCTAGGAAAACGCAACAGCAGACGGAAGATTCAAGCGAGCCAAGGCTTAACGGTCAGTCTGGGAGAGCAGAAAACCAAGTCTAGCCGGCACTACCAGCTGCTTTCCCACTCTGGATTTCCAGGTGTCCTCATTTCGCCCTTTCAGACCCAAGGTCTGGTCCCTCTGGGGATCCCCTTTTCCGCGGCCCCCTTCCAACCTCTTCCCACATCTCCACCACCACCGACACCCCCTGCAAACGCTAGCCGGGCTCCCCCTCCCGCCCCTCCCGGCAGAGCTCCCTCCGGGACGCGGTGCGCAAGCCCCGCTCCTTCGCCCTCCCCGGCTCGGCGGCGGTTACGTGGCTGCTCAGCCGCTCGCTCCTCGCCGCCCCTGCGTCGCCTCCCCACAGCGACGACGCCATAGTTGCGCTCGCGGCCGGCCCCGAGCACGTGCTTCCACCGCGGCGCGGCGGCGCCGGCCCCGCCCAGTAGCCAATGGGCTCTCGCGGTGGGCGGGCTCTGCCTGGACCGCCCGGCGCGGCGCGCAGGCGCGGAGCTCAGTGGGCCGCTCAGTGGGCCAGGGGCAGGCGAGGCGAGGCGAGGCGAGCCGGAGGGGGGCGGGCCGGCGGAGGGTCGTGCTGTGCTGGGCCGCGAGGTTTCGGTCCGGCCGGCCCGGCTTCGGCGCTATCGCCGTTGGCGATCGCTGCTGCCGCGCTCTGCGAGGCCAGCCACAGCGGGGCCTGTGGGCAGCAGCGATCTCCGTACCGAGGCCGGAGCCCGGCCCCTGCGCCCCGACGACCCGCCGGGAGGGGAGGCTGCATCCCCACCCTGCTGGCTCTCGCGGCCGTGTCTGCCCGGAAGTTTCCGCCTCCGCATTCGAGCTGTAGGCGAGGTTGGCGCGTCGCAGAGCGAAGTGGAAAGACAAAATGGGCGGGCGTGATCTGACGAGCGAACTCAAATGCGAAGGTCGTGGAAGGAAGCAGAGTTGTCCAAGTTCCAACTTCCGCTCCTGCCCTAGACGCCTGTGGTGTCTCCACACACCTGCTTATTTTAATTTTTGTTCTGAGATGTGGCCCCTGGTTAAAGCCAGCCTGAGAAAACGGTTTTCCTCTCGGTACGACCTCTACCTCATACTTGCATTTGCACGATGACTGCTAAACTTGCACGAAAGAACCGCCTTTTTTTTTTCTTCCAATTTTCTAACTGGAACTTTGAGATTTGGGTCAGCGTCTCTGGAATTGGGGGTAAAACTACAAAAATCCACAAACGAAACTGCAGTTATGATCTCTCCGTGGTGCTGAAGCAACACTCCAGGACGTTCGGCTACGCTCAAGGCGCCTCAGTCGTTTGTTTTATCATATTCCTTTTTTTTTTTTTTTTTGTGACAGAGTCTCACTGTGTTGCCCGGGCTAGAGTGCCGTGGCGTCATCTTAGCTCACAGCAACCTCAAACTCCTGGGCTTAAGCAATCCTCCTGCCTCAGCCTCCCGAGTAGCTGGGACTACAGGCATGCGCCACCATGCCCAGCTAGTTTTTTTCTATATATTTTTAGTTGTGCAATTAATTTCTTTCTAATTTTTAGTAGAGACGGGGTCTTGCTCTTGCTCAGGCTGGTTTGAACTCCTGAGCTCAAACAATCCGGCCGGCCTCGGCCTCCCAGAGAGCTAGGATTACAGGCGTGAGCCACCGCGCCCGGCTATCATATTCCTTTTTAGCGTTCACAATTGGAGTCTAACAGGAAATATTTTTGTCTCTCAATGATAACTTTCTTCTGATCTAGGTACAAAATCGGGCCAGGATCTTCAATCTGTTAGTTTTCGGATAAGGATAGCAGACATTTGAAAAATTACTTCTCTTCTATTACTTTAGCACAGCACCAGAATGTCTCCTTTTATTCTCCTCGTACCGCAGACCCCACATTCGCGGCGGCCGGACCAGGAGACGCCCCGGACAGCGCCGCGCCGCGCCTGCGCGCTGAGCTCCCGGAAGTGCGCTCGCCACGGCACGGCCTCTTCCCGTGAGGCCTCGGGTGCGCGGAGGCGGCGCCGAGCGACGGCTTCCCGTCTCGCGAGGCGCTGCGTCGGCGACCGGAAGGTAAGGGTGGGCTTTTGGGTTATGTGGCTTTGGGTTCTGCAGAGGAACGGACAAGTGGACACACAGCTGAACGGCTGTCTCCTTTTTGCCCTCTTTCCGAGAAAGCGCTGGTGTGTGGAAGTGAGACCTCGCTTTAAGATCGCGTCTTTTTCTTTTGTGCCGGTACTTCCTGGAGCTCCCGGCAGAGAGTCCCAGCAGTGCGGGGCTTCTTTAGTTCGAGTCTGTAACGGGAGTTCAGAGGGCCCTTGGACTGTGGCGGTAACGTCTGTCCTGACCCTGTTAGAATTGATTGCTCATAGAGCTAAACTGTAATGGAAGTCGGCGCGCTGAGTAGTACGTGCGAGGGGAGGCAGGCAGCGGCGGCGATTTTCAGATCATTTTGGGGATTGCTTTTCAGGCCACGAATGCTATTTCTGCTAGTCCACTGATTCCTAATTTTTATTTTTTAACTTCAAAAAATGTATTGAACGTCTGGCGGTGGCTGTTTTAGTTTATAGTCGAAGTTTAGCGCACACACGAATTCCGTCTTTGTGGTCATGTGGCGGTCCCCTCTGAGGTGTTACGCTTGCTTGGGAGCTGTTGCACTTCACACAGGTTATGGTGTGCTGGAGGAAACACTGTACTAAATGCTGGGCTGAAGTACTCTTTTTGCCTCAAATCTGCCTTATGACCAGACTCACCCCCGGCCTAGTTCTTTAGTTAATAAAGAGATTAAACTAGGTAATCACTTGGAAACTTTAGATTTTGGTAATAATGGACTTTGAGATGCAGATAAAGGTAAATTATTGGAGTGGTTTGCTTGTTAAAAAAAAAGTAACTTTTAACTTAAAAAACCGAGGTATAAATAAAAATTACCTTTAATCCCGCTACCCAGAGTTGGATTTTGATCTTCCCCTGTGCTGTGTGTACAGGAGTGTATGGCTGAGATCAGGCTGTGTAGTTCACAAGATATTTCACTTAATTTGCATTTTTCCTTGTTTCCCAAGATTCCCAAATGTCTCTTTAAGTAAACTGACCACTATTGGTGGACAGTTTGCAGTTTCTACTTATTTGCAGACAATATATCCTGCATGTATCTTTGAGTCATTGAATACTTCTTTTCCTGATACATGCCTAGCAGAACTGAGTGAATTAATTATACAGCTTTAAATACTATAGAGAAAATATATTTTAGAAGATACTAATGGTCAGGGTCATTCATGTTTATGTTAAGGCTTTCTGTGAACAAGCAAACTATTTCTGCTGTCACTCTTCTGGCCTCCAATGCTAAAACTATCAACTTCCAGACTTCAGATGTTCCTCATTGGATTAGAACTATCAACAACAGATACATTCCACTGTAAGGTGAGCAGAATAAGTATTCAGATCTGTACCCAAACAGCCAAATTCATTCTGGTATTTGTTTGCATCCATCTGATTTCAGATGTTAGTAGTTTGAAATTCTATTGCAGAGTAGGAATAGCCTACAAGCAATAGACATAATTCCTAAGAAAATCTCCGTGGCAAATTATAAAAAACATAATACTCCAGAAGTAAAAACTGGAAGGCAATATGTTATTAAAATTTTGAAACAAAACTTGGGTTAGAATCCTGTGTTGTATAGTAGTGTTTGGGAGCATCTATTAAAAAAGCATTTTATGCAGCTACTGGATTTGCTATATTCTTTTAGTAGTGAGAGATAACTGTGCTGTTACTCTCTCCCATTCTTTAGGACTGTGTGTAAAGGGTGGGATTTTGTTTGTTCCTTTTGGCTCATTATTTAGGTAGTGAGAGTACAATGGGCAGTGTGATTGGAAGCAGAATCATAGCCCAGGTTTGAGTTCATCTTACTGAGGGTAGTATTTAATAAAATAACATTCAAACTCACAAATTTCCAAAATTCTTTAATTGATAAGCTTAATGCCCAGCAACTTTAAAAACACAGCAACTCATATTTTGGTCAAAGATAAAATAGAAATAGAGCTTACTAATTGGACAAAATAGAAAGACCAGCCTGGTCTCTCTCTGCCATGATTTCTCTCACTATTGCTCGATTTGAGTGGTAATTTGGGAGTAAAGTGGTATCTGATGCCAATGTGATACATAGCTAGGAAAGACCAATGATGGGTGAGTGAAGTCTTTATAATGTTCCATGGGCTTGTCAAGTCAGTTTTTTCGATTCAGAAGAAGAGATAAAAAGAATCAAGTTATCCCAAACAGTCCTGGAAAGAGGGGGAGAAAAAGATTTAAGAAGGTGAAAGAGGGAAGGGAAGTTTGCTGGGCATGACACCATTTGCAAGGTCACAACGAACATCCCAACGGAGTGCAGATCTTTTCTTCTCAGTTGGTACTAGGTAATTGTTTGGAACATATACATGCTGAGGTTTGGATTGGGGTTCTGGTCGACAAAGCATCTGCTCTCGGACACCCCAACGTAGTTCCTTCCTATGATCTTCACCAGGTAACCGCATTGAGTCCCAATCCCGTTTATACTCAAAATATCGGGCTACCCGGTCTACCTTGCCCCGGTTTCGACTTAACTGGTCCAGCCTTGGGAGAATAAAGGACTTGGGTCTGCTGGCAACCATCAGGTCCTGTTCATAAGCTGGAGGGCCCGTTCCTTCTCTTCGTAAATAGCGAATGAGCTGATCTTGAGAAATTCCTTGGTATTCACGTGGTAGACTAAATCTTTGTGAACTATCAACTGGGGATTCCTTGTCTTCTTGGAACTGCAGATTCATCAGCCTTTGTCTTAGGTCCCAGAGATCCGGATCACTTTCTGTACCAGATTCTGATTCACTAACAATGGACTCATCTGTCACTAATACTTCCCCACCTGGCTTTCTACGCAGCACCTTTCTCTTCATCACTGGCTTTCGGAATCTTTGGGAAGCCTCTGAGACTATTTCTGAAGTGACATTACTTTTTACATGTGGATACTGCAGTTGCACAGGAAGAGCAGGTTGCTTCCCTGGGGTTACTGAAGCTTTACTGTAGGGATCATACTGGATAGATTGGGCTTCTCTCCTGACATCTCCTTTACCCTCCCCTGCACAGATATGGGAAAATGTTGTAGCAGCTGCCAACATTAGTTCTTCTGGATCCATATTGGCCCATTTTTGTCCATCAGGTCCCATGAGTTCCTCCATTGCTTCCCCATAGGACCTTCTGCAAGGGATAACATTGATCAGTTTTACAATAAATTCCCAGCTCATAAATTGTTCATTTCCTTGTCTCCATTTTATAGCATTCAAATGGAGAAAGAATGGCTAAGTCAATCATAAATTCAATAATTATAATAAGAGAGAGATCAGTACGGTGCAGTATCAGAACAGTTTGGAGGGGCAATAACTTAGTTCTTACCTGTTTTCATTTCCACTCTCTTACTCACTCACAGTTTCTACTGCCTTGCCACCTTTAGTAGCTCCTAGGATAGGACAGGCGAGTTCTGGTAGGCATATGAGACTACATTATATGGGGCATACTGCTTAATGTACATTATGTAGCAGGTATATAGAGGGTGCCATTGTTCTGTATACTTTACATTTCTTCATGTAATCCTCACAGGTGTGAGATTATCTCCTTTTCACAGATGAATAACATGAGGCACAGAGAAATTAAATAATTTGCCCAAGGTTACTCAGCTATTAAGTGGTAGAACTGGAATTCTAACTCAGGCAGTCTGGCTTCAAAATGAGTCCTTGCTTTTAATCAAGAGTGATTTAATCTAAAAAACCACCATAAAAGTGATATTGTGCGCACACACACGTAACCTGTATACATATATATACTCCCTATGCTTAAGTAATTTTAACACATCTTCTGTTGCCAAGATAAACCTGTTCATTCTAATACCTTTGTCAGTGAAATAAGTAAGTACCCAAGTCAACCAGCCCAATACCCAGTGCTAGTTTCCTGACTTGATCTAAGGAAGGACCTATTGGCCACTATTTCCTGTGTCCCTATTTTTCTTTTTAAACTAAAAAACTAATACGTGCACTTAATAATTTTAAGCAAGGATTTTCCCTCCCCACCAGGTTTCACTCTCAAAGGCAGTTTCTTATGATCTCTCCAGAAGATTTTCATATTCATGTGCATAAAGGAGCATAGAATACAAACTCTTCAGAACCTTAAAGATAAGCTTGGTGATCCAGCTATATCAGCACACGTAGACTCATTTTCTTTAAAGTTGCATAAAATTCCAGTGTATGAATATACCACAGTTTATTCAACCATTCCTTTATTGATGTGATTTAGGTTTAGTCATTTGTTAAAAATTAATGTTGCAATGAATATCATGTACATTTTTAAATACCCATGCAACATTTTTGTAGGTTACATTTCTGGACGTGGAATGGGTGGGTCAAAAGGTATGTGTGTATTCAATTTTGACAGCTGTTGGCAAAATGCTTACCTGCAGTTGTACCAACAGTGTTAACAGAGCTTGTTTCTCTACTTCCTCACCAGAGTGGTGTACTATTCAAACTTTCTAGTCTTTGCAGTCAGTTTTGTGAAAAATAATTCTCATATATATTTGCACTTATTTAAATTGAGTAAAATTGAGCATCTAAAAAACATATTTATAAGCTCTTTACTTTTTGTTTGAAATGCTTGGTCTTTGCCCATTGACCTCTCAGGTTATTGGGCTTTTTCTTATTGATCTTTTCATTAAAACTGATTTATATATTCATGAAATACTTACATGTTAAGGAAGTTAGCCCTTTACCATCATTCCTTTTTCTTCCCAGTTGGTTTACCTTTTGATTTTTTTTTTTGCTGGTAGAAATTTTGATTTTTAGGTAGTTACATTTTTTGGTTTTCTGTTGTTTCTGGGTTTGTAGAATGTTTTAATTAGAAATGCCATTCATACTCCAAGATTTAAGAGTTATTCCATGTTTTTTTCTAGTATTTTTATAGTTTCATTTTTTACATTTAAACTTTTAATCTACATATCATAGACACAGATACTCAAAGGGCAAAAACTGAATGGGCTACCTAGACTTAGAACTTAGCCGTAAAACAGATAGGGAGATGATCTTCTGTAACTAAAGTAACCATCAGCCATAGATTGTCTAGGACTGTCCCGATTTTAAGGATGTAGTACAGTTGTCCTCAGATTACTGAAATTCACTAGGAATTTCAACAGTGACATCTAAATTACATCAGACTGACTCTTGAAATTGTTAGAGGTACAGAAATCTTTTATCAGATCATGCATTAAATTTGGCTTTAAAAAAAGTCAATGGTGCTTAATTACCTTTTTTCTGCCATCAAAACTGCTTAAAGTGAGAAAATCTTGTCTCCAGGTTCTGCTTCCAATGTGAAATATAATCACTGATAAGCTTCTTCAATTAGGCTACCTTCTATTGCACCACCTTTAAGACAGAACTGAATAATAGATGACAGAACATACAAGCTACTTATTTTATCTGAAATAATGGAAAACAATGGAAACTCAGAGTAGACATAAGGAGTCCATAATCTTATGATTAGAAAAACATCAGTCCTTAATCATCTTGGTTAATGAAGAATAGAGAAATGAAATCTACAGACACTTTTCCCCAATTTTGACTACTATAAAGAAACCTTAAGTATGATAGCTGAATTTTTTTTCTCTTTTCCCCTATGAATTGACTAGATAGGATGGAAAAGAATAATATCTGTGGATGATCAATCCATAATAATTAAGCTAATGCTTATATTCCCTGGACAAAAAAAAGTATATTCTTTGGGCATTAAATTAAATCTTGCACTGAAACTGTTGTATCCCTTTGCTCTCTTTTCAGTTAGGGTGGACCTATATGATTCCTTTATTCCTGGGGTTGTCATATCATGGCTGAAAATGACAGAGATGGAAACCAAACCAAGAAACTCCTAAAAAGAGTACAAGAACTGGAGCAGGAGGTACAGAGACTTAAAAAGGAACAGGCCAACACCAAGGACTCAAATGTTAGAGAAAATTCATCAGGAGGCGGAAAAGCTAAGCGTGCATTTGATTTCAGAGCTCATGGCCAAAGACATATAGCCCTAAAAATAGCCTATCTTGGCTGGGGATACCAGGGCTTTGCTAGTCAGGAAAACACAAATAATACCATTGAAGAGAAACTGTTTGAGGCTCTAACCAAGACTCGACTAGTAGAAAGCAGACAGACATCCAACTATCACCGATGTGGGCGAACAGACAAAGGAGTTAGTGCCTTTGGACAGGTAAGGGCCAGTAAGTATACTGTTTCTCAAAGCAAGCAATACCAGGATATTCTAGGTATACATACTGTGTACTAAGATTATTTGTATCTCTAAAATACAGTATCTTTCTCTAATTCCACAGGTGATTTCTCTTGACCTTCGTTCTCAGTTTCCAAGGGGCAGGGATTCAGAGGATTTTTATTTAAAAGATGAAGCTAGCAATGCTGCAAAAGAGATCCGATATACCCACATTCTCAATCGAGTACTCCCTCCAGACATCCGTATACTGGCCTGGGCCCCTGTAGAACCTAGCTTCAGTGCTAGGTTCAGCTGTCTTGAGCGGACTTACCGCTATTTTTTCCCTCGTGCTGATTTAGATATTGAAACCATGAATTATGCAGCTCAAAAGTATGTTGGCACCCATGATTTCAGGAACTTGTGTAAAATGGATGTAGCCAATGGAGTGATTAACTTTCAGAGGACTATTCTGTCTGCTCAAGTACAGCTAGTGGGCCATAGCCTGGGTGAGGAAAGATGGCAAGAACCTTTTCAGTTATGTCAATTTGAAGTGACTGGCCAGGCGTTCCTTTATCATCAAGTCCGCTGTATGATGGCTATCCTCTTTCTGATTGGCCAAGGAATGGAGAAGCCAGAGATTATTGATGAGCTGCTGAACATAGAGAAAAATCCCCAGAAACCTCAATATAGGTAAGTTAAGAAACAAGATAGCAACCTTCCTCTCCCCAATGATTGTATAAATAACTGTCACTCATTCTGCCTTCATAGAGCTTTAATCTAACTTGTGGAATGTTAAGAACATGTGCATGTAGGAGTGAGCAATATCTTCTAATTTTTTGTTCTGTACCATTACTAAGGAAACAGGTGTTTGGACTGGGCTTCTTAAGTAAAAGGACATTCATTTTCCACATCTTTGTTTGTTTCTGAATTTATGGTAAGCAAAATTATTGTTAGGTTCTGGTAACATTAAAAAGTGGACCTATTCATTATTAAATCTTGCTTATTTTGTATTACTGAGTAGTCACACTGCTGCACTTTGAATCTTTCATAATTTCCAGTTTCTGAAATGGTAGGAAAGGAAGAATAGTCAAGATCTGCCTTTTGAGAATAGGTTGAGGTCAGACAGATACCAGTAATTCATTCCTAAGGTATGAAATACAGTTTTTCCTCATACTACACAAAATTGAAATGCCATTAACAAATTTGGTAAAATATCAAGTGGTATGATGAAGCCATGTTAACTCACTTCTAGGTGAATTGTTACCATTAACATTAACGTATATAGATCAAGTTAATCTGTTTTGTTGCATTTTTAGCAATTATGACAAAGTTGTTAAAGGTTAGGGATGGTGGTGTATTTTCCTAGCTATTGTCAAGGATAGTCAATATTGACATCAACGCCCTCCCCCTGCCCATTCCCCTTAATCCAGCTAACCCTCAGTTTAAGAATTGTTGGATGGCTGCTATGTGTTCTCATACTCTGTTTCTTCTCCCTCTTTCTCCAGTATGGCTGTAGAATTTCCTCTAGTCTTGTATGACTGTAAGTTTGAAAATATCAAGTGGATCTATGACCCAGAGGTTCAGGAGTTCAATGTTACCCACCTCCAACAGCTATGGGCTGACCATGCTGTCAAGACTCACATGTTGTATAGTATGCTACAAGGACTGGACTCTGTTGCAATACCCTGTGGAACAGGGCCAAAGATGGATGGAATGATAGAATGGAGAAATGTTAAGCCCTCTGTCGTAAAGCAGACCAGTGCCTTTGTAGAAGGAGTGAAAATGCGCACATATAAGCCCCTGATGGATCGTCCTAAATGCCAAGGATTGGAATCCCGGATCCAGCATTTTGTACGTAGGGGACGCATCGAGCACCCACATTTATTCCATGAGGAAGAAATAAAAGCCAAAAGGGACTGTAATGACACACTGGAGGAAGAGAATACTATTTTGGAGACACCAACAAAGAGGGTCTGTGTTGATATGGGAATAAAAAACATCACTTAACCACAAACAACTTACCAGGATCTAAGAACCAACAACCAACTAGTGGTAGGTAGATAGAAAAGAAATAAAAAAAAATATTTACTGTAAGAAGTACTAGAAATTCAGATGATCAGCTAAGACTTTAAGGTCCTATTAAGGAAGATTTTGCTTTAACAAGACAGAGTTCAAACGTTATCTCATCCTTGTCTAAAAGGATTAAGAGATGAAAGAAGCAAAAAACAATTGTAAAATGGAGATGTACTTATTTATGTACACCTGGAAATCTGTGCCTTGTGTTCAAACTCATCAAAGCCTAATACTGCAAGTGTCTAATTTGTTGTGCTGTTCTTTTTCAAAGCAAATGAGTTATTCATTACTTATCTGAATTCTCATAAAGAGCTTCACCTGAGTGTCTTATTTTCTAATTTAAAAATATTAATTTCAATCAGTTAAGGATTGGAAAAATTAAGTGGCAGGCATGATGCTAGCTCGAAGTTACCTAACCAAATAAGACAAAGCACCTTTCCTTATGAAGCATATAAACCTAGTGCAGAGGTTGGTAAATGTTTTCTGTGAAGGAATAGAGTAAATATTTTAGGCTCTGTGAATCACAAATGGTCTCTGTTTTTAAAAACCCTTTATAAATGTAAAAAAAGCATTCTTAGCTTGTAGGCCACAGTGTTTGCCTACCCCTGGTCTAGTAGTTTAAGGAAAGTTCTTATAAAGAGGAGATATTCAAGCTAAATCTTGCAGAACAAGTGGGAGCCAGTTAAAGTGAGGATTAAGAATTAGAGCTGTGTGTCTAAGACAGAAGATGCAGTTTGTGTAAAGGGTTAGAGATTGCAGCATATGCATTCAGGCAACTTCAGTGTGGCTTGAAAGGGACAAGAGCATAGTTTAAAAAGGTAAGCAAGGGTTGGTCACATCTGTAGAGCCTTATAGGCCTTCCTTAAAAAGCTAAGATTTTATCTTGAGGGGCCACTGAAAAAAATTTAAATGCTAGATAGAACTGTGTAGCAAAATTATTGCTCTGGGTATACTGTGGCTTGGAAGAGGGAAAAGAATGAAAGCAGTGGGACCAATCAGGATGCTATAGGAATAATCAAGGCAATCGATGATAATGGCCTAGAATAGATTTGTAGTAAGGGGAATGGAGAGAAGTAGGTGAATTTCAAATTAAGGAAGCAGAAACAACAGGACTCTGCGTAAGTCAATGTGCCATTCATAAGTAGGGAGGCTTTCAGGATAACTCCTAGATTTCAGATCTGAGCAAACGAGTGGCTGGTAGTACTACACACTGAGATAGGAAAATGAGAAGGGGCTTTGCTTGTTCTCCAAGCAAAGTTGATAAGTAACCCTCAAAATATTACTTATATTTATTCAAAAGAGCAAATAATACATTATCTTTTGTAACAGTAAAAATAAACCCAAAGCAAATGAACTCAGACATTCTGCCTCAATAATAATTTTCATTACTACAGTGTTATCCCACATTCATAATTCTGCCATGTTTAAGAGATCCAAAGTTCTATCTACCAACCAGTAATTAGTTTGTTCCTACCTATGGTCAAGATTCCAGATACACAAATACGGTTTCTATCCTCAAGCTCATAGTTTAAATATAACTAACATAGGACAATTAGAAACATTACTAATATATAAATATAAGCTGATGCTGTAAAGGTGCTATAGAAGCTCAGTAGAGGGGGAGACCACAGAAATAAGACTTTGCTCAAAGAGTTCCAGGTTTAGAAAGTAAAATAGGATACAAAAAGAGTGGTGACCTTGTGGTATATTGAAGAGTAAGGAGGCACATAGTAATAGCTTTTACATCCCAGAAGAGAGGAAACCAGAAAATATCTCCATTTTAGAGATGGGTAAATAGTGGTACAAAATGATTTAAAATTTATTCAAAATAGCCAACTGTATATGATCCAGGTCTTCTGGATTTTGAATCACTGTTACTGCTTTTTGGGATCTATCTACCAAACACTTCATAATGCTCCAAGTTTTCTTAAAATGTGATTGCTTTGTCCTTTAATTTTGATGTAAAGATCCTCTACTTAAATATGTAAGTACAAACCAAAGTTATTTTTTTTTTCAATTTTCTTACCTTATTTCAATGTACCTTGATTGGCATTAGCATTAAAGGTTAAAAAAAAACCTAGAAAATAAGAACAGAGTTTGAGAAATCATTCCTTATTTTTAAAAAATCAACTCTAAAGCAGTGAAAAAGAACGTGGAAAAAGAACTAAAAGGCATAGGAGATTCTGTAAAAGCAAATGAGTTAAAGGATCATGGTTTTAGATCTTACGTAAATCCATTCAAGGTTGATTATACTATTGGATCTAGGAGAGTAAGGATTTAGTGACTTCATTTTTGGTAGTTACCGTAGAAAAAGTCAAGACAGTCATCATAGGTGGAGCAATAAGAAGCCCAAATGTAACTCTGTAAAATTATTTGCTGAGGCAGTGTTTGTACAAATTCAGAAGTCCCATGGGAGGAAATAAATAAATGTTAGAAGAAAGTAAAATAGGGCTTGGATCTTTCTCCATTTTAAAAATGGAATTATTACAATTGTGGTGAATTTAAATGAGATTATGCATATATATATATAAAAAATAATAGTGCTTTGTGGAACTCTATCTGGGCTTGGAGGATTTTTGACACTAAAGCCAAACAAGTTTTTTTAATGGTGTGCTATACTATACAGTGATTAATGTATTATTTCCTTTGCATTTAAATTATGTCACACTCCCATTTCTTTCCTTGAACACGGGAAGATGATGTTTGCAAATAGTAAAATATAAAGACAACTGTCAGTGCTTTTTCTTTCTAATACAAAGACCTGTCTATTCTCTTTACTTAGAGGGAAACTTTCACGTAGCAGCTAGACAACTTGTCTTTCCGTAGATAAATACAGAAAATATTGGACAAAATGCCCAACAATATCTTCTCTTCAAAAATCTTAAGGGACTCAGTGTCCTAGGTTTAGCTTGTTAAAATTGAAAGGATTTTGAGGGTGGAAGGGGGGAGGATTTTAAATTGGCATAGGGGGCTGGGTCAGTAGTTAGATTCTAACCATTAGAGAGAGGCTATTGCAGAGTTACAACAAATTTCTCTACTTCTGGTGAGGTAAGCATGCAGCTTCTTAAAGAATTGCAGTGTTAAAACAGAGCAGCCTACCACAAAGGCAAACAACACTAAAACCAAAGTTAAAGAGAGGAACAAACTGGGAGAAATACTTGTAACAAGTTTTAAAATAACTAATTCGAATTCCTCTTAGAAAGCTATTAAAAGTACACACATCAGTAAAATAATAGTGAAATGACAGATGATTTACGAAAGAAATAATAATAAACACAGAAAACATTTAATCTCAATAATGCAAATAACATTAAGATATCCTTTTAGATTGGTAAAACTTTTCAATAGCCAGTGGTGGTGACAGTGTGAAGAGTTAGTAAGCACCCGTACACTGTGTTGGCGGTAATCAATTTTTCCAGAAGGCAGTTCGGCATTATGAATCAAAATTTAAATTGTGCCATACTTTCCAAGTCATAATCCACTCCTAGGAATTTATTCTAAGGAGATAAATTGGACAAGAACGCAGGCATGTGTATGTAAAAGTGACCACTACCACACTACTTTGACCACGAAATTGCAAACATAGACATCAGTAGGGAATTGGTTAAATAATGTGGTACAATACAGCCATAGCAAAAAATACCATGCATCCATTAAAAATGGTAATACATATCTACGTTTGGCATAGAAATGTGTTCCCAATATATTACCGACTGCATAAGACATAATCTGCTTTTTAACTGACATATTTAACATGCTTTATTACATTCCCAGTATACAACTATATTAAACATACTTTATAAGGATAATCATGTAAATATGATGTACATATTCCTAATGAATATATCTTAAGTAAACCCAAATGTGAACAGCGTCTTGACAGTTCTGTGGGTGATGGAATTACGTTTGCATTCTTGTCCAACTTGTCTCTTTGCCCTCTAGAAAAACTGGTTACCGCCAACACAGTGCAAGGGTGTTTATTTCTTCACGCTCTCAGCAGCACTGGATACTAAAAAATCTTAACATTCTAAAAGGCCATCTCAATGTTTTCATTTGCGTTATTAATAAGATTGAATAATTTTAATAACAAAAATAAAGCTCATTTTCATTTGGGGTAGGCGAACGCCTTGCACGGTTACACCCACAGAAGGTGTAACCTTCCTCTCCCGGGAACAACAGAGCACAGTCACACCGCCCGGGCGCCCCGCGCACGGCGCCCCGCAGCTCACACGGCGCGCCCGGGAGGACCCCAAAACCCGGGAGGGCCTCAAAACCCGGAGGACCCCAAAACCCGGGAGGACCCCGCGCCGCGCTGTACCGGTGGGGACAGGAGCACGGGCTCCCGCGGTAGCGGGCCCGCACCCCCGGCGTCCGCCCTGCCGCCCCGCCCCGCTCACCCGCCGAGCCGAGGTCCGCTCGCCGCCCGAGTCCCACCGCGCTGCTAGCGGAGCACCGCCGGCTTCGGTTGGGGTTCCGCAGTTAGCGCAGGCGCACAGTGGGCCACCGCGCCCACCGCGCCGTTAACCTTCCGGCCTCCGAGGTTTAAATCCCACGGGCGAACGGGCGCCCTTGGCCCCGCCCTCGCGCCCTCTCATTGGTCCTGAAGGAAACGTCCTCCACGTCTGCATTCTGATTGGCGAACGTTTTCTCTTGCCCCTCCCCCGCAGGCGGGAGGAAGCCCGGGAGTTGGGCGTGGAGTCGGGAGGGCGCAACCCGCCGGTGCCGAGCGCGCGATTCGTAGCGGGCGCGGCGTGGCCTTCTATGAAGTCTGGGGGGAGGTTCGGTCCCCGAGGGGGCGGAGGCCTGTAAATTCTCGGCTAACGGTGAGCGGCGGGAGCGGCGTTTCTGGAGAGGCTGTCTTGACGTTCCGTCCGCCTCAGCGGAGTCGGTCTCCGCCCGGCCCAGCTCCTGCTGCCGCGGGGCCGGGCGGCGTCGGGCCGGTCTCCGGCGGTCCGGCTCGTGGCGGGGGACTTGCGCCGGGGCCCGATGCCCGCGCGTCGCGTCCTTTGGTTTCCTCTCCACAGCTTCCGGGGCTCTGGCTTGAGCCATTGCCGTGTCCCCGACCGCGGTTCCCGCGCGTTACCCCGCTTAGCTGCGCTGCAGCTGCTTGCTGTTTTCCCCTGGACGGCGCCCTCCTGTGCCTTTGCATGGCCTTGCTCTTAAACATTTGTTAAAATGCCGATCGTTTTCATTTTTTTTGTGTATGTACCTGTTTAAAAAAATCTAGTGCTTTGGGGATTGCTGAGAACGAGATCCGCGAAAGAAAGCAGAGGCCCCGCAGTTGAGCAGCCTGGTCGTTGCCGTGCAAAGGCGTCTAAACAACTTGTCCTGCAAGTTCTGCGCGTTGTTTACCTTGCACGAATAAGCAGGTGCAGGTTATCAAGTCCAGTTTACACCATTTCTTCAATTCAGCATTCAGTGGGAGGGGAAAATAGTGTTTAATCCTTTTCCTCCAAACATTTTATCTTACCTCTTCCTCTTCCCCCGTTGTCTCAGGGTCTTTCCAACCTTTAAGGCACTTCAGATTTGTGGGAGGAAGGAAACGGAATTGAACAAAGGGGAAGAGAAGACGACAGAGGTAGGTTGTGGAGATCTGAGTGACTGTACCCCTAAATCTGCAATACCATAACACTGTTTTAGTGCACTTACTCCTTTCTTTCGTTAGGAACAAATATTCCACGTTCAGGTTTGGTCATTTTATACCTGCATGACTTTTTTCTTTGGCATCGAATCTCCAGTCTGTCTTAGGACAGAAGAGTAGATGGAGTCATTTTTCTTACCCAGGGCTTTGGACAGTCAGCGTACTTCTTATGCACCTGCCAATTAGTTTCGTGTCGTCCTTTATGTTAAATTTTGATCTTTCAAAACCTTTAATAGGTAGCAATTTGAAGATCTACTCCTGTCATATTTTGCATTTCAAGTGTTATCTTTTTTTAAATAGCAAGTGTGTTTTTATTCAATATTTAAAAAAATACAGACTTTGTGGCAACTTATAAATTTCTACTGTAATAATAAATTGATACTTTGAACCAAGAAAACAATATAACCAAAAATTCATTCCGAAAAATAAGCAGTACCCTTTGTTAGGGGTGGTTTACATTTATGCATACTTTTGCTTTTAAAAAAGATGATTGTTACGATCAGGTATATAACCCCTTAGATATGTCTAAGTTCTGTTAAAAATATATTCTTTTAGAAAATCCAATTTAATCATCTCATTCTTTTTTCTTCAGTGATTTTCTCCAAACAGTGGCAGAAGTACTCTTTGATGGACAGAATGCAGAAAACTGTTTTTGACCCCCCCCAGAACATACTGATATCTGTAATAATAGGGTTGGCTCCAAGGAAATCTAGCTCGTATGAGTGAAGTAGGCCCAGTTTAGAAAGTAACAATGCAGTGCTAACTAACAATAGTGCTAGTCATTATCAAAAATTAACAATTTGAAGTATCTTTGTTTTGAGTTTCTGTGGTTTAGGTGCATCCAAAACTCTTCATAGTCTGTACTCATTCCCCTTGCCCAGTGACCAACTGTGACCATTCCATCTGAATTCTGACTTTCAGGGCAATCTTTCTTAAAATGTTCCGCAGAGCCACAAAGTTAGCAACCACCACCATCAGCATAGAGTCCTTTGGGATTATCAGGACAAGAGCTAGACAGGTGTCCCATTTCCCCACAAAGAAAACATTTTGCAAAAGGAAATTCACCAACAGCTGTGTCTACTTTGGCCTTACACTTGTTTATTTCATGCTCTGTGGATCCACACCGGTAACATATTCCAGTGCCTATATCCTGATTTTCAAGGGTGGCTGGGCAATCTGCAATTCCATGACCAGCTTTTCTACAATGGAAACATTAACGTTGCATTTTTCTTTGCTGCTTGTCTTTTTAATCGTCTTCCTTCCCTTCGACTGTCTTTCTTCAAAGCAACTGCAATTTCTTCCCTTACTTCCTGAATGTCTGTTGCTGTAATCTCCCCATTGTGAACCATCTGTGAGTTCTGTCTTAGGTATTCCGTGAATCCATTCACATCTTCATTTAAGTACTCTTTTTTTCTTTTTATGTTTTGCTTGGGGTG